AAAATATATATTTAATTATAATAAAGTTACAATAAATTAAGTTAATATATAATTATATATACAGTACCTAATTTATATATAATTAATATATAATTATATGTACAGTACCTAATTTATATATAATACTGTACAGATGATAGTAAACTCAAATTTACCCGCCTAAATTCTCCGTAGCGTGGCTCTGGACGGCGGAAAGTAGTTCGGCTGCCCGATGACGTTTTACCAAATTATAGGAGTTTTTTTCCCAGGTTTGTACAAATACCGTCGCAATTTTTTCGCCGTCTTATATAAATCGTAATTATAGGAACCCGTGTTATAGGGTGTCTACTGTACTCCATGCAGACGATCTGGTACTCCAATCATTTGGAGTTTCAATCGCAATATTTGACAATTCAGAGGAAAACTGGAAATACGGCTATACACTAATGATGGATTCAGCCTTGTCACATAAAGGACCAAAATTCAATATTGAATTCGGTTTATAATCCTTGGTAGGCCTGCTTGGAAACCCTAAATATACCTACAGATTCGAACATCATAACCGCTAATACAAAGATGAATATTAAACGTTTATCAATTCAAATCCGACTTAACAAATACTCTTTATTTGTCAATAACACTTATATTGATTATTCTAAAGAATACTGCTATTGGTGTAAATTCACTTTTCCTTACTCCATCTGTTTAAGGACTGTGCTGCATTAGAAAAATATCGTAAAGAATATCAAATCATCGAAATAATCCATACGAACCAAGACTTAAACTATAGAGCTAGGATAAATAACCTAGCAACAAACAATATATACAGTATATTGTTAGAAAATTTGTGTAATTTTATTGTTGTATTTATAGAATTGTTTAACAGAATAATGAATAAATACTATACGTAAACTTAAAGATAATTACTGTATAATAATAACCCCCTGTAACAAGGTTTTTCTTAGTACAAATAAAGATTGATTGATTGATTATTATCGAATGTCAAGAAGTTTAATTTTAAGGGTAGTGACGAGTTTCCTTTAAAACAATTGTAAATGCTAATAATGAATATCATCTTTAGATCCAGTCACTCTCCCTTTCTTTAATTCCGTACTGCCCACGTCAACAAAACTAAGCAATTTTAGATAAAGCATGGGTGTCCAACCCTTTTTGTTTCTCTGGGCCACATCGGAAGAAGTTATGGAATTTTGGGCCAAAGTAGCTTAAGAGCAAAAAAATGTAAAATATAAAACAAATGTGATATTTCGCATTGTTGTTTAGAAACTAATGCCTCAATATCTGGTTCGATTGAAGTGGTTGCAATTTTCAGACAGTACAAAGTAACCAGTTTCGACTTATTTCTACTTAAGTAGTAGTTAAATAATTAAGCGATCAGGGAATTGGGGACATAAACAAAATCCTGACGAAAGAGCTGAAATTTTACTTAAACAAAAACCTAACCGAACTAATCTCTAGCCGAGTACAGTGGGATTGATTTCTTCAAAATATCAGATGTAATAAAGACAGACATTTTTCCAGTTCGACGAGAGTGACCGAAAAGTTGTAAATTTTGGAAATTTCCGTGAACGACACCTGGTCCTAAAACGAATTAGTTAGAAAACAAACGACGGACAATCTATTAAGTTTAACGTATTTAGACTTTTACAGCTATGGTGAGAAATGTTTAAAATTTACAAGAACCCTGTCGCGTGTTTTGAGATATACTAGTGATGTGAATAAACACACATTTGACATTGACTGGTATGGGCAATCTCGGGATTTGGCAGCCCGCGTGCATGTACACACCGCACACCTAGCAGGACTGTCTCTGATTCCACTCGTTGGGAGCTATTTGACTAAGTGGTTAAGATTTAAAGAGTAAAAAATATTTTATGTTATTTTTATGTATGTTTCATTACAAAGCTATATTTAATTATAATTTTCTTTAAAAGTATATTCATACAATTGAAGAATGTTTTGTACCAGGTATGTATATCCACCACACATTTTATTTCACCGAGTAAGTTTTTATAATTTTATTTTTAATTTTAGCCTTATATCATGGTTAGCGATTCAGAATGTAATTGCGATATTGAAAATTTATTTTTAAAAAGTTTTGGCTCGAGATCATATAATTAAAAAGAAAACAATATTAAAAGAGAAAGGCCAATGCCTAAGTTAAATATAAATGCTCCAATAAAAAAATTTGTTCGACATTTTCATGATAAAATGGCTCTGTAAATGCATAAAAATGCAAAAATTGTTTTCTTGGCTTGCCTACTATTTTCAAATGAAATTAGTGTGTGGAATAAGAATGGCTTTGACAATTTAGCTGGCAAAAGACACGAAAAATCGTCGATTCTTTCGTATTTGAAGCAATTTGGAAATCGAAGCGGAATAGAATTTAACATTAGTAAATAATATAAAATAAATATTGAAAATTATAACGAGATAATTANACTGTATAACAAGTGTTCGAGTTATATGACACATCTGAACTCGTCTGTCAAAAAATTGGCGCATCGTATGCAAAAGGTTGGCCACTCCTGCCCTAATCTTTCTATATCTAGCTCTGTTCTCAAGATTAAAGAACAGACAGTACAACAGATGCCAGTGGAAATTTATAGACCTGTAATTTCAAAATTGCAGCCCAACTAATTAAAACTTGATTTATTACCATCTTATTAATGAAGCAAACTTTACAAATTGTTCTCTGTGTATTTTTTATTTAGTTTCACCTAAGGGATTTAATACTCAAGTTTTGGTACTTAATTCAGAAACACTCTGTAGCCTATAACAAGCTCTTGTAGTTAATAACAATACATAAAATCTTATTATAACATATAAGCAGAGCCTGCCCTACCATAGGGCGAACGGAGCAGCCGCTCCAGGCGCTAAGTCCTAGGGGGAGGAGCCTCAGTGGTAAAGAATATTAAACGGTATAAATCAGGGGCAACCAAGGGGGCGCCATAATAGGATCTCGCTCCATCCTAAAACTTGCCTCGAGCCGGCACTGCATATAAGTTATATATACATGATATAAATGATTGCATTTTACATGTATTTAAATAATTGATTATTGCTGAATTAATCATTTCACTTTTAACAATGGGTTGAAGGAACGCTAATATTTTTAACCCAGTTACAGTCCAGTTATGGACAGACGACTGTCAGTGTCAGTTAGGAAAGAAGAACTTCCTAAATGAAACTGGCATTGTTTAAAAGGTGTATTAATTAATTCAGCATAATTCAACAATGGTTAGTTCATCCTTGTTGATTATTACATGTTTATGATTAAAATTTTCATATAATTATAAAAAAACATCTATAAACAATTATAAAATGAAATAAAACTACATGATTTAAAATCTAAAAAATAATAATGGCACATTTACAAAATTACCACAAAGGTTTTATAGTTTCAAATGGAATATTGTGTGTGTCAATCCATATTAAAAACTCATTGTTAACTTCTCTCGCTATTTTCAATAGGGAAATACTGTCGGCTTCGGCAAGATGAGAATATGGCTGAGAAGAATGAAAGAAATGTTCGTAAAGATTGCTTAATTTGAAAGATATTTTATTTGAATTTTTCTTTGATGAATCTTTTGCTTCAGTAGATGCATTCTGTGTAGGAGTTGTTGCATCTGTTGGAAATAATTGTTTTCTAGATGTACTATTCTTTTTCACATGTACATATTTATTTAGAGTTGGAGTTATTTCCTTTTTTGCAATTTTTCTAGGTGTCGTCTCATTAACGTACGGCGAGATGGTTTCAAGTACAACTGAATTTGTACCATTATTTTTACTGTATCCATTTAAATTTTTACTATTATTATTATTATTATGTTCAGATATATTACTGCATGATGGCAATTTGATTTCCTCAAATATATGTAAATCCTGACTTAAAATCTCATCGACATCATTTTCACTTATATCCGACACATAAGTATAATTATGTGATGATGATTGAGGAATGTCCTGCTTAGAAAGAATGTTCTTGAATGCTTGTAATGTATCGGCACATAATAAGGGTGTAGAGAATGTTGCGCTTGTATTTTCAAATTCTGCTTTCAAAAGAGGAAAACCAAACCCTTGACCATAATGAGCTAACAGACAGACTGGCTTATTTAGTCTTTCGATAAACAACTCTATTAATTTAACAGTATTCTGATTAAAAGTTTCTTGATACTGTAATGATGTATTACACAAACCTGTAAATTTTCCAATTATTATTATATTTTAATAAATTATGAGTACAATAGTAATTTTTACCTGTCATGTGGATGGCTGCAGAAGAAATACGGCTTGCAGGCTTAAAACACAGGGTTAATTTATTAATAACACGCATATTTCCATGGCTGTTTTCAAAATCAACCCTGTCTACTGCCAACAACGATAATTCTGTAATTCGTACGTTTTTCAGTCCAACGTCAAATGGCAATCCAGTGCTTTCAATATCACAAAATAGTAAAGTCTGCACTTTAGAATTGAGTGTTGAAGCCATTACTTTGAAAAGTTTTTGTCCTATTCTAGAAAAAAACAAAAATTCATATAAAAAATCAGATATTTAGAATTGATAATCTTATATAAGTCTACAGAATACGTAAATGTTGCCCGAGTAAAAGATTAATCGAATAAAATGTTTTACAAATATTGACTTCCCAATTATTGCTATTTGATACACTTTATTCTTTTACCATACTCAAGCACACAAAACTTCATTTGTACCAAGATTATTCATAATGTTGTAAATTAGATAGTGTTATGAAAAGTCATTTCTACATTTATTTATTTAGCGTATGGCTACACATCTAATTGTTAACAAGAACAGAAAGCAGAAAAAGTAAGAACACAAATCATAAATGTAAATCTAAGTTAGAAATATAGTTTAAAGCACTTTCAGTCATAATCAAGAAGTCACTCAGTTGTCCCGAAAAAGATCTTACTGGACAATCTTCCAAGATATGATGTATAGTCTGTCTTTCAGCACCACAGTCACACTGTGGGGATGCAACTTTTCCCCACCTAAAAAGACTGTCCCTGCACAACCCATGTTTGGTCCGAATCCTATTTAACACACTCCAAAGATTTCTGGATAACTCAAATCCAGGTGGTCGCTTTGTGATACAAGGAAGTTGTCGACTGTCCACCGGAGAGACATCAGCCCAGAGCCTTTTCCAAGATTCAGTGAGGTTGAAATTATTGGAATGCAGGGATTTAGCTCTTATAAGAGGAGGGTGTCTTGATTTAAGTCGATTTATGTTGAGGTCATCAATATCCTGATGGATCGGAAGTTGTGGATTAGACAATATTTTCCTATATTCCCTGAGCAAAGTGCTGTCCCTTCGGAGTGCAGATGGAGGGATATGGCTCAAAATAGGTAACCAGTGAATAGGAGTTGATTTAATAGTACCTGTTATGATACGTAGAGTAGCATTTAGTTGGGCATCCAGTTTTTTAATGTGAGCACTGTTCATCCATACCGGTGCACAGTATTCTGCTGCAGAGAAAACCAAGCCAAGAGCAGAGATCCGTAAGGTGGACGGCGAAGAACCCCATGTAGTTCCACATAGTCTTTGGAGGATGTTGTTTCTGGTATTAACCTTGGCAGCTAAATTCATCAGATGTGTTTTAAAAGATAAAGTTCTATCCAAAGTGACGCCAAGATATTTCGGGTTCATATTATGTTTCAATAAATTGTTGTCAAAGTAAACCTTTAATTCTTCATTTGCCAGCTT